GTAGTGTTCCTAACACCATTTAGGTTATGAGTTTATTTTGTCATGTACATTTTCTGACATATAAAATATCCTAAATATTTTAATTATTTCTCACCATTCAAACAAAAGACCACTTAATAACCCTGAATTAATTCTAATAAATAAGTATAAACCATAAAATAAAAGTAATTTAATGTAAAACAATAATATGTATGACAACTTTCCTATTCTCCATTTAAAGTCACTTAGTCCCTAACCTTTACTGGTTTTCAAAATTATCATAAATCAGTGTAAAAACTTTTCTAAAACAACATTTTAATTTTTGATACAGGTATTGTATTGATGTAAAATATATATTTGCAATCAAACTTTAATAAATATATTTTATTTATGAACATCTTATTCTAATTTATTGCTTTTCATTGTTTCGGCAATAATGTTTTAACCAATGTAGAGAATCTTTGAAACATATTTTTCCCCTATGATAATTGTTTAAGCTCTAATGAAATTAGAGCAAAAACTATAGACTATTCAATGCAGAATGATAACCAATATCCACTCTCCACCTAACGACTTTTGACTGCACTAGACATCCTATCTTTAAATACACCATTTATTAACTTAAGTCCAGGTATCATAGAGCCCAGTCCCTGACATCTCACTGCTGCAGAGATGGATAACCAAAGAATAATCTACACTGAACTGAATCTGCCCAAAACCCCAAAGAGGCAACAAAGGAAACCCGAGGAAACTAAAAGCTCCATTTCAGAAACTGAACAGGAAATAACCTATGCGGAATTAAAACTTCAAAATGCTGTTCAGGATCTTCCATTGGATGGCAAATCTTACCACTGCAAAGGTAAAGAAAGATCTTAGTAGCTCCTCAAGATAACAGGATAACTGGATCTAGGATGTGCAGTTTGAGTGCAGGGGTTTGGGGAAAGAGCAGGGCATAATCACATATTTTTATTAGTGAAGATCAGAGTTCTGAATTGAGATGTGCTATTGTTGAGATATGAAAAATTTAGACTTATTGTACTCACAAATGGTTGAAAATTACAGTCTTTCTCCAGCAACTCATGGAACACTACATTTGCCAAAGATTCAATGATATATACTGAGAGAAAAGTTAATATCATAAATACATGTTTAGGAATTTAATTCATCTATGATTCCCTGTGCATGTGGGGTCTCTTGAATGTAAATAACTCTCCTTTCTTGGTGTTTCTATTTCTTTTTCTCCGGATTTATTGTTACCTCCAGAAAAGCTCTTTGCTGGGATCCTGGGAATCGTTTGTCTTGTCTTACTGTCCACTGTGGTAGTAAGAGTCGTCATTACCTGTAAGTATGTTTTGGAAGACTCTCACACTTAACAGTTTTGAAGTGCCTCTGCACATTTCATAAGATCATCAAATAGAATTCCCATTTTACAGGGAATTCTTGAATGTTTGAACTAAATAAAGATTGGTTATTCTGAATTTTTCAAAAGTATAGATGAAAGATTGTTGAGAGTCTTTGCTTTTAATTATAGGGATACATTCAAATTTCAAAATTCAAGGCACATTTAAGGAGACTGAAAAAAGCTAATCAAAAATAGAAATTTATTTTTGAAAATGGTTGAATCATATAAAGTATTTTAATATGTAAACAGACCAAGAGAGAGAAATTTGATTTTATAGAGTTTGGAAGGACTTTTCTCCTCAAACCTTCACTAATTTATTAATCAATATTACTATAGATTATTCTAAGTTACATACCAAATATAAACAAAAACTAGAGTCATTGTGACTTAGATGCTAATGTTTAATAAGTTTTACTTTAATTTTTCTTGCAACAGTAACACAGAAGCGGAACAATTCTGACCAGACTGAAAATCAGAAAGGTATTGATTCAATCAATTTTTATTTTGTCACAATAAGCTGCAAAAAAATTATAATCAATATTTTGGGGGAAATAAGTTATAATGTTGGAAAATAAGTTTTCAAAACAAAGATTATGAAGACATTCTTTTTTGTGAAAATGTATAGAAATGCTCATTTAAAATCACTGTGCCTCTTTTTGCAATTTGACTCAAATTACTTTTGCTATCGTAATTTAACAGTTAAAAATATTGCTATTGCCAAAAAGTGGTTTTGTTTAGTTATTTTTCAGTCATGTGCATGGTGGATATATGTTTGTTGTTTTGCCTTATGTGGAAATATAATCAGGGAAGAGAGGCTGACCCTTTTTCTGTGTGTGATTGAGTGGCTTTTCTTTTATTTTTACCAGTCTATGAGGATGCAAAAACAAATGTCATATTTTATATCTGTAAAAATATGTAAATTAATTTTCATTTAAAGAATTCATATTGTGTCCAGAAAGTAATTCATAATTTTTCTTTAGGATATCCTTGTCGTCATTGCCCAGAGGAGTGGTTCACATATTCCAACAATTGTTATTACATGGTTAAGGAATCAAAAACTTGGAATGAGAGTTTGATGGCCTGTGCTTCTAAGAACTCCACTCTGCTTTACATAGATAATGAAGAAGAAATGGTAATATTTCAAATACTTTATTAGAAGCATATTTTAGTCAATATTATATTAGAATTCATCATATTCTCTTATATATATTGTTTATTTATTTTCAGGTCTGTGTATTATTCTGTTGTTTGACTTCACGACACTTTACTTCTACTCAATATTCCTAATGCACATTTAATTATGACCAGTTCCTGTTGTTTGGTCAAACAATGCTTCTATACATGCTTTTAATCTAAATTGAATTTTGCTATTTAATTGTGCTACATCATGACTGTGCATCTTTATCACAAAGTGAAAGGACTCCTATCATAGAAGTCAGTTCACAACATGGGAGTTTCTAGTTCCAACAGCCTGCTCAGGAGCAGACCCTCATCACTTCTCCTCCTTTCCACATTATGTATTATTTTAAAATTCATTTTATTTGGTGTCTCTGAATGTGGGAGATAAGTCTCATGAACACAGAGTCCTCCTGGATAAAGCTCTTGTAGTTATGAGATTCCTTCACTGAACCCTCTGAGCCACACCTACACTGGTGTTTCTTGGCAAAGTAGCAGAAGCTCTTTCTTCCTCTTTTAAAGTTAGTGGGTCTCCTGATGGATCACCTTTGCTGGTGATGCAAGTGTTGCTAATGTTGCTGCAGGACTCCCTCTCAATAAGAAGGGGAAGGAACTTGCCTGAGGCGTCTTTCATTGCCATGTTGGGTGTTGGGAAACAGCAGGCATAGATCACTTTCTTCTGTTGGGTGAGGAACTTAAGATGTCCACCACTGTGTTGATCCCTGATCCTGGAGTCCCAAAGCACACCACCTTTTCTTTTCTCCTTTCCAGGTCCCCCTTGCTTGTGTCTTTCGTAAGTTCTAAAGTTTGTGGTTGTACTTAGAAGGGAGAAATGCTTGTTTTAGACCATTGCTATTTCGCTACTACTGAAACAAACAAACAAAAAAACTGAGTGTTTACCTAGTTAAAGAATGGTGTGGTACCCAAAAGACAGTATTTTTGTCTTATATATCATTTATTTTTTCAATGGAAGCCCTTTGAATTCCATCATAAACCTCAAACTTGGAGAAATATAGTAGAAATATAGATAGATTTAATATTAGCACAAAGAGGAATGTATGTACAGTGTCTGGAAATTATTTAACTTCATGTTATATTTGTTTTGCCAACATAGGTTGCTATTAAATTAAAGGGGTAATAAACTTCCTCACTGATGCAAGAAAAATGAAACTACTAAGTATAAATGTTTAAGAGTTCATTTTAAGCAAAAACTACAAATATTTTTGCGAAGTAAAAAGTAATTTTCAATGTTAATATAACTTAAAATATTAATTTTGTTTTGACTATCATAGATCCAATGAAAGAACACATTACATATACTTTAAACAATTATAAAATCTTTAATAACTATTTAAATATAAAATATTTGTGTTCCTAAAGAAATTTCTGGGTTCCCTGTCACGTCAGTCATGGATTGGAGTCTTTCGTAACAGCAGTGATCATCCATGGATGTCAATAAATGGCTCAACTTTCAAACTTCAGTAAGTTTTAATGAATGGAAGTATATAGTAGAAAAAAATTTAAAAGGAGAAATTCATCAGACTAATATAAGTACGTTTCAATTGAATTATAGGCACAAAAAAGACATTGAAGGTTAATGAAATGTTGATATAAATAGTAAAGAATGTACCATAGTAGTTCCCTCCTATTGGTGGTTTCACTGTCTGTATTATGAGTTAATTTTAGTCAGAAAATTTTAAAATGAAAATTTTAGAAAAAATACTTTATGAACTTTAGCTTTCTGAGTAGAATTATGAAATTTCTCATTGTCCTACTCTGTCTTCCCTGGGATGTGCATCATCTTTTTGACCAGCAGATCCACACTCTAGAGGTGACCCACACATTAGTCATGTCATAGTCCTCTGGTGATCACACCAATTGTCCTACTACCAAGTGCCTGCTTGTCAAGAACCTTCTATTTTACTGAATAATGACCCCAAATCTCAATAATAGCAATGCAGCATATTATTTTCTTACTTTTTTCCATTATTTGTTATCATTTTTAATTCCTTCTTATGCTTAATTTATAAATGTTATCACTGTTGTGCATATATAGAATAAACATAGTCTATAATAGAGTTCAGTAAAATAGGTGGCTTCAGGCATCCACTGGTGGTCTTGAAACACATCTCCTGTAGATATGGGAGACTACTGTGTTCAGTTTTGTAATATCCAACTCTTAATAATATTAAATTAAAATGTCATTAACTGTTTTCACAAAATCGTTCTCTTGAAGTACGTGGACAAGATTTTGTCTCAGGGATTGTCCCCATAAAATATAATGGAAGTATAAACTTTTCTCCATTACAGCATATCAGAAACAGAGTATAAGAGCTATACCTGTGCTGTGCTACGTGACAGTAAACTTCTATCAGAAGGATGTGGATCTTTACAAGTATATAATTGTAAGCACAAGCTTTGAAACTAGAGCACCAGAGTTTGGAGTCAGCCATGTAATTATATATTTTTTGAAATGGAAACAATATCATGATTGCATAAGTCAAAATGAATTGTAATTTGTTATAATAATTAAAAGATTTTTGAAATGATGTTTTTAGTGTAATATGCACACCACAAATTACAGGATATCATTCCTATTGTGACTGGGTTCTTTTGCTCAAATCATCTTTATTGCTATACCTGTACAATAAACAGTGAGACAGAATTGTTTATTACAAGTTTATGACTGTTTATTCATTCATTTTCCTCATATCGATATTCTATGTTGAGATAGTATTATTAGGTATACACGTATTATAAAAGGTTATAACAAAGGGTTTCAAAATAAATCTATATTGAACTACATTCCCATAATAATTCTTGATTTATATAACACTACATCAACAATAGTAGTTTTCTATTTGTTTTTTGGCCAGGTATATGTCTTCAATTTGTTTTAAAGTTTTTTTCACTTTTTTTAAGTTTTAAATATTAATGGGGTACAAATATTTTTGTCACATGGGTACATTGCATATGCTTAAGTCAGGACTTTTGGTGTGCCTATAACCAGAATAATTCTCATTTTACCCAATAGCTTCATATTTATTCCTTAGTCCTCCACGCTCCTCATTCTTGGTGTTCAATGTCCTTTATGTAGCTTTGAACCTGTTTATGCCACAGTTTAACTCATATTGATTAATAAGCACATACAGTGTTTGGTTGTCCATTTCTGAGATACTTTACTTAGAATAATAGTCTTCTGTTTCATCGAAGTTGTTACAAAAGACTTTATTTAGTTCATCCATTTTGTGACCAATAGTACTCCATGGTGTACATATGTATTCCATATTTTATTTATCCATTAATTAATTGATGGACACTTAGATTGATTCGACATCTTTGCAACTGTGAATTGTGCTGTGATAAACATACAAGTGCAGGTGTTTTTTTATAAAGTAAATTGTGAAAGAAAATAAATTTCCTGATGAGAGACTTTTAAAAGGGCCTTCTCAAAGGGTAGCTAGAAGGTCACCGCACCAGTATTTCTTGAGGTTCTTATGAAACTGAGCAACAAAGATTCCTGAACCTTACCTCAGACAGACCAAGTCAAAATTTCTAGTTATAGGGCCTGGCAATCTGCTTTTGAACAAATATTTATGGACAATAGTCTGTGAAGTGCTTTCTTGGTGGAATTCCCAGCATTTTTATTACTACTAATGCTATAATGTCCTTCTCAAGAGGAGTCTATGCCAAGGACCTGGTGAAGTGGATTTCATTTTAGCACTTGACATATTGTTTTGAAAATCCTATATCTGGAAAGGAATGTGTTTATATCATGGTTTTCTTTTGCGGCTGGAAAGTAATGTTATGTCAGAGTAGAATGCATATTTACAAAATCCCAATGCTTTATAATAAGAATTCAAGTGATATATGGTGCAATCAACACACATGGGATAAAATTAATATTAATAATAACAAGCTTTTGAAAACCTACACGAGGCCTAAAATTGCCATGGGATGCTGTTCACATCAATTGTTTGTACAAGACTCTTCACTCAGATTCTTTACAGTTACAATTTCAGGCCCTGCCTCCTAGGATCTCGTAGTCAGGAATGTCACAAAAATATGTAGTTGCTTGCTTGCTGTCATGTGAAGAGCTCTCCCTAACCAAAAGTATCCATTCCTCACCCCCATGCTTCTACACCCCCTGCTATGTTCTGGGATCCCACAGCTTAACATAATCAGTTATAGATATATTTGGCTAGGACTATTATAAAGAGGCAGAGAATTTCACTCAAAAATAATTAAATTAACTGTATGTTGGAGCCAAGTAGAATGTGTGAAGGAGGGACTGTGTTGCACAGGCCTGAGCCTGTGCTCTGAATTTGCTAAATATGAAAATTGTGTTTTTTGGTCAATAATGCATTTGAAAGTATAGATAAAACAAAACATTAGTGTTTAATATGTGTTGTTCTTCTCTATATGTTGTGAGGCTCCACCTCTATCTACTACCATTGCTTTTTTGTTGCTTCTCCTAAAACAAAATGCAAAAATTTAATTTATGTCCTCAAAAATTCTGAATTAGTTAAGAACAGAATGCTAATTAAATTAGTCCAATGTCTTTCTGTATCCAAGGATTATATTTTCATTTTCTATTTCCCCTTCTGTTCCAAATTATACATGCCAATATTATCTAATGTTTGACAGATATTATTACAGAATCTCTATCAAATATTCTATAATAAAATTAATAACAATATAAAGTTATTCCAATAGTAAAATGTGTAAATACATACAATGTAATAAATGTAATAAATGTAATAAAATGTAAGCAACAGAGTTATAACTATAAAGTTATTCCAATAGTAAAATGTGTAAATACATACAATGTAATAAAATGTAAGCAACAGAGAATCATCTCAAATTTAATAAACACTATCATGATATTCCCAAGAATAAAACAATGTCTAAATCCAACAAAATAGAGATATTTAAACAAAGGAATCTGGAAGTCTCTACTTCTGGTATGGCTGAGCAAGCTCCCATTGTACTTTAACACAAATAACAATTATAAATTATTGATGAATCACACACTTTTTAATGTCACTTCCATGACAAATTTTAATTATGTTGATTACAAAAAAAGATTAATGAAAAGAATATACTTACTCTGCTTTGCACTTCTTTTGAAAAGATTATAATTAATGATCTTTACAATTTTTCACTCCACACCTAAGATCCTCTCAGGGCACACCAGTGTGCCATGACAAACCAGTTGAAAATCACTGTTATATATGTGACATATGCAGATATGCACACAAACACACGTGCACACACTTCCCACCCAGGATATTGGTGGGGAGATGGTATGGAGTTTTGGAAAAACAATTTGAGATTTGGAGAAGAAAATGGCTCAAAAGAGTTTCCTGGCTCTGCACCTGTAGCACAATGGTTATGGCACCAGACACATACACCAAGGGTGGCAGGTTCAAACCCAGCATGGGCCAGCTAAAAAAAACAACAATGAGAACTGTAATAAAGAATAGCCAGGTGGGTGCCTATAGTCCCAGCTACTTGGGAGGCTAAGGCAAGAGAATTGCTTAAGCCCAAGAGTTTGAGGTTGCTGTGAGATATAACACCACAGCACTCTACTGAGGGCAACATAGTGAGACTCTGTCTCAAAAAAAAAAAAATAGAGCTTCCTATTATATTTTTATCACTTTTAGCTTAAAGATAAATGAAACTCAATTCCAGGTAGGTTAGCTAACACTCCAATAAAAGTCTCACAGTCTTTCCTATCTATAAAAATGGAGGACTGAGTTCAAAATAACCATAAACACTAGAAAATGATGATGGAATTCTAGAAAAGAAAAAGCCAGAGACTGGGGATAATAGGTAAAAATGCAAACTCTTCCCAAATCTCTGACTTACCAGAATCATCTCTGTGTGAAAAAAGAATACAGCTAAGAAAAACAAGAACAAAAGTGAGATTTGAGATTTGAGCTTTTAACCAAGAAACATGTTTTTTATTGTTATTTCAACTAATTTAATTGCCTTCTAAAAAATAGAATCCACATTTATTATAGAAATACAACCAAGACCAGATTTTACACAAGGATTTTAGAATTTAACATAAACTGTCATATAAAAAAACTGGGAAATATGATCTGTTTCAAGAAAAATGACAGTCAAATAAGATGGTTCCCAAGATAACTCTGATTTATGATTTATTAGACACATATTTTTAAACAGTACTAGAAGAATGACAAAATAATTTTATTAAAGGCAGGCATGGTAACTCATGCCTTGAATTCCAACATTTTGAGAGTATAAGATGGGAAGATCACTTGAAGCCTAGAGTTCAAGATTATCTTGGCAACACAACCAACCCCTACCACTCAAAAAAAAGCAATTAGCTGGATATAGTAGCATATGTGTGAAGTCCCAGGTACTCTAGAGGCTGAGGTAGAAGATTACTTAAGCTCAAGAGTTTGAAGTTGCAGTGAGCTATGAGCAGGTCTCTCATACATGTTTTAATGTGCCTCTAAAACATTAAAAGAAAATATTTTTGCAATAAATGAAAAGATAAGAAATCTCTGCAAATGGTATAAAATGGAATATTTAATGCAAAAAACAGAATTGTGAAATAAGTAATCTAAATTATTGAATCTGTAGGCCAAGTTGGAAATAACTAAACAGTTGACAATATTAAGTTGTCTTCTCCATGAACATGGAATTTTTTTCTATTTATTTAATTCTTCTTTATTTCATCAGTTTTGTAGTTTTTCCCATATAGATCCTGTACATATTTTCTTATGTTTATACCTAAGTATTTCATTTTGAAGGTACAAATATAAATAGCATTGTATCTTTAATTTTAAATTTCTAGTTGTTCATTCTGTTATGTTAAAAGGCAATCAATTCATTTGTATTAATCTTACATACTGAAACATTGGCATTGTCACTTAATAGTTTCAGAATTTTTAAAATCTACCTTTTAAAATATTTTACATAAACAATCATGTCATCTGCAAACAGTATCATTTCATCTTCTTCCTTTTCTTTTTCTTTTCTTTGTATTAGCTAGAAATTCTGGTATAACGTCAAAAAGGAGTGTTGAGAAGGAATAATCTGCTTCCTAATATTTGTGTGAGAACTTCTAGTTTCTTACCACTAAATATGATGTTTGTTGTAGGTTTTTGTAGATATTATCAGTTAAGAAAACTTTTTTCTATTCCTAGTTTACTGAGTTTTTATCATGGATGGGTGTTGGATTTTCCCAAATGCTATTTCTACATCTATTGATATGACAGTTTGATTTTTCTTCCTTAGTCTGTTGATGTGACAGATTATATCAAATGATTATTGAATTTGAACCAACCTTGCATATTTAAAAAAATCCCACTTTGTTGTTAGGTGTAAATCTTTTTATATATTGCTGGAATTGGTTTGCTAATATTTTGTTGAAGATATTTACATATATGT